TTGTTAACCCTTAGGCTCAGTATTATGGATATCGCAACCTTTCGGCATTGATTCCATTTTAAATACCGTAAATCTGGGAGAAATGTGGCTTTTCTGCCCACCCCCGGGAGTGAACCCGGACCACAAGGAGTTCGTCACCCGCTCACAGCGCAGTCCGGTTTAGCCAACTACGCTAGAGAGACAGGCATATATATATATATATATATATATATATATATATATATATATATATATATATATATATATTATTCAAATGAATCGGGCTCAATGGATTTTGTGTCAGCATTAGGTGGGCTGCAGAAGAAGGAATCATAATGTTGGGTAGAAGAAGAGAAGATAGAAAGACGCAGAAAAAAAAGAAGCAGAGACGAAGGAGAAGAAAGAAGAAGTAGGCACAAAGAAGTAGAATTGGAGAGGAGAAGAAAAAATTAGAGAGGAAGAAGACAGAAAAACTATAATATAATAAATAATAATAATAATAAAGAATTAGGGAAGAAACAGAAGCAGAAAGAATTAGAGAAGAAGAAGAATATGAAGAAAGGTTTAGGGAAAAAGAAGAAGATGAAGAAATAGAGGGACAGAAGAAGAAAAGAAGAGGAGGAGGAGAAAAAGAAAATGGAGATGTAAAAGACAGAGATATCAACAGCGGTGCAGTTTATCATCTCTTGAAGTTTAGAGATGATAGCAGCTGTCAGCTCCCACCGGTAGCACGACTTGACTGGCGCAAACATCACCAACTTACGCGATAAAGTGTGCAGGTGATATCAGATTTCGACAGGTGATAAGTGCGTTGTATAATAAAGCGACTGTAGCCCTGACTAGAGGGAGTCTTTCCAAATCAGTTGTGTACTGCGGTATAAAACGGATTGTTGATTGTTGGTGAAGAGGTTGCGTATCAACTCTTGTTTACTACTCTGCAATGCGGATGTTTACATTTTGCTGTGTGTCAATGGGCAAGGATAGATAACTTGGAATGTACTGTCATTTCTGGATCGAAGAGAATCATGAAGATGGTCTGTTCTCGTTTTCCCCACATTAGGGTCTGAAAGGCGTCGTAATTAAATTAAAATCAAGGGTACGTTTCCACTTCTTGGTCCAGACTCGGAAACCATCTAGATGCACAAGAGAGGGTGGTGGAGGAAACAAAATGATGATATCGTTTCTGTAGTAATTTCTTCTTCTTCTGCTTTCATCTGAAGATGTAATTGCGTTGTGTCCGTTTACAGCATTTTGCGATATTTGCACCTTTTGGCCAACACATCCGATTGCTGCAGACATTTGTTGACCGGGTTAGCCTTCCCGGTCTGAAGTAATTTAACCGTTGTGGCGTGGAGAGACCGCGCGCTCGTAGACCAAGTTGAAAGTTATTTATGTTTATGAATATTATCACAGTTGCCATAACACTTCGGTCTCTTGTCTTGGTTATATAGGCACATATTTTAACTTGTTTTGGTCCGTTACGACACGAATTTAGCCGGTTTTTGTGTGTGTCCTGGGTTTTCGGTTACTGTTACTAAATATACTATATTTTTTCCAAATTTGTTCGTGCCTCTCAGTTATATGTTTTTTATCAATTTTCCCGTGCGTTGAATAATGAGCATTATTTACATTTCACATGCATGCCATTTTAAATTGGACAGGACCCATATATTTTAAAAAACACAATTTACTATTTATAATTTACTGTTAACGTTCACGAGGGGAAAAGGTTGGGGGGGGGGGGGTTATTTTAGTTCAGCACTCTTCTTATAGAAAAAGCAGTTTACGTGTTGAAGTCGAGATGATTGACTTTTTTTTGTACCTGGTCGTATCTCATATGGTTGGATCTCTCTGCAGAACGGCAAGTCGCACAAAGTACGAACTCCATAGCTCGGCGATCTCCGTCAAAATTGCACACGTGAACCGAACGACGCAGCTTTGAACCAAAACCACGACCTTTAGAGTGGGAGGCTAACGGCTTGACCGCTTCGCCATGGGTGCGAATGTGTGTGTTTTGTTGGAACTGGTGTGTGCACTTGTAGAACGCAGTGTAAACATAAAGCCTCTAGGGGACAATAAGTAACATGCCGTAATCATAACGTCCTCGTAGGCCATATTTTTGGCTCCTAGGGGTGTCAGATCTTCAGGTAACAATTCTGAGGGTGTGGAAGAAAACGGAAATGGGAGGGGGGAGGTGGGGGTGGGGGCGACGATAGTTTCAGGCATATGATGCCAGACTGAGATTTTGGTGATGGGTGATGTGGAGCCATAACTTCCCAAGAAGATAGAGCCATAACTTCCAAAGAAGATATCTCCCATACTTATTTTAGGCTTGATCAATCCGGGAGCTAAGATCAAATGTTCAAAAATACATCGGCTGCGAATTTAAACATAGCTGTAAATCCTTCATAGAGAATCCCTAACCAACCTGGGAATTTATTTGATATTTGTGGTTTGACTAGGCAGTTTTAAGTTCAGTTGTTTGTCGTTCATTTTGACCATGTTAAACGTTATTGTAGCCTAGAGAGAATGGCTATGGGGAGTGTGCAGAGAGAATGGCGATGGAGGATGTGTTATCCAGAAGACGAGGCAGACCACTGCGAATATGGATACAAGACAGTGAAGACGCATTGGCTATGACAGCACGTAAAGCTGGAGAATTGGCTAGAGAAAGATTGATTTCCAGGCGTGCCGCTAAGATAACGACGTTCTGTAAAGCAGCTGTTCACTGATGAGTTTGCCATTACTTTCTAAACGACCAGCGTTCATGCCATTGCCTGAATAAACGCAAAGCTATCTATTGTCAGATTGCCTGCAGTTGACATGAACCCATGTTACTTGAATTATGAAACTGCATGCATAGCCTGTAATCCACAGACACTGACCAAGCCACTAACCCCTCCATTATATTAATCTATCCGCCACACTCGCAACACCTGGAAACTACTATTCTGAACACATTTTGGGATATCATTCAGCCTTGATTGACATGAAAATGGCTATGACTCACCAGACAGGTTGACTGTATTTACCTGTTCCCTATAGCCCAGTAAACCTCAAAGCGCATAACACATAGCCTCAAGACTTTCCTGAAGTACCCATCGTATTAGAAATCAAAATTAAATAAGCAGTGAAACCCGGAGGTGACGCTGGAGCTGCCATTCTATGACTCAAGCTTTTTATCGTTTTGTATACACCCTATATGGAAGGGAGTTAACTATTCAACATAAACGCAATGGGGTGAGACACAGTGTTTGGTTTACGACCTGGAAGAAGCTCATCATCATCATCATCGCCATGAAATGCCTTGCCAGCTGCGTTGGCGTTCATGCATCTCCACAGCTGTCGGTCTGTGGTGCTCTGGATCAATTCCATTGATGATATTCCTCCATGCTACTGTCTTTAACCATCCACCATCTTTTGTCTTGGTCTGCCTCTGCCTCTTCTACCAGTGATCTTTCCAGTCCTCACAATATTTTCCAGAGCTCCTTTTTTCATCATGTGACCAAGGAACTTTGTTTATCTCCTTTGTTTGCAAGAAGCTACATAGATTAAATAATGACACTGAGACTTAATATTTCGATAAACCTGTAGGATAACATTATTATTTCGATGAAACTATAGAAAACATTATTATATAGGATTATGGTACTAGATTTCCTCAGGCATTTTGTTTTCAAATGCATTTAAATTCCCTTCCACGTCTACCATGGTACTTCATCGTCTATCATGGTACTTCATTGTCTATCATGGTACTTCATTGTCTATCATGATACTTCATTGTCTATCATGGTACTTCATTGACTGTCATGGTACTTCATCATCTACCATGGTACTTCATCGTCTACCATGGTACTTCATCGTCTACCATGGTTCATTGTCTGCCATGATACTTCATTGTCTACCATGGTACTTCATTGTCTACCATGCTACTTCATTGTCTACCATGCTACTTCATCATCTACCATGGTACTTCATCATCTACCATGGTACTTCATCGCCTACCATGGTACTTCATCGTTTACCATGGTACTTCATCGTCTACCATGGTACTTCGTCACCTTTAAGAAATGTGTTGACAATCTGCCACAAGAGCACTTGAGTTTCTGAAACATCAACCCAGAACACCATGCCCCCCCCCCCCACACACACACACACACAGACAACAATCTGAAGAGAGCATTTGAGTTCGGGAGGTCTCTTACTTGCACACACCAAGCCCCATCCACCATTCAAACCCGCCATAACTTGACTGAACTACGACACACAGCATCTAAAATCATAGTAGCCATTTCATCCACATCATCATTAAATGACTAACCTGCTCTTATTGCAGGAAAAGATCTAAAAGATCGCTATAGTCACACGCAAATTATTTTCACAATTTTTTTATCTATACAAACCGGAACCAGTACTTGACTACAAAAGACAACAGATCAGATGGTTCGGACACGTGTCAAGCCTACCACCAATTAGTTCAGCACAGATATCCTTGTCATTTAGACTTTATGGAGGAAAGACTTTAGAGGAAGACCACACAAGCGATGGATAGTTGAAATATCCAAGGTCGTAAATACCAGCATCTACGTAGCATAAGGCTCGCACCCAATGCCTCTTCAAGACTTGATGCTGATGACTACAAGAAGAAGAGAAGCAGAAATAGATGACGAGGAAGAAGGATTTGCACATGAATAATAACTTTTTTTTTTAGAGCAACTGGGTGTCAATCATGTTGGGATCCTGGAGGGGGAAAATCAAGAGTTCTGTTAGGGTTAGTCCAAAGTGTGGTGTCCAGTGAAGTTGGCGGATCACATCACCCCAATAGCACCCTTTTAGCATTCTCTTAAATTCAACATATGAAACATCCCCATATTCATCATCATCATATTCATCATCATCATCATAATCAAGTGCCTTGTCGACAGGCGGGGGCGATATTGCCTTCCCACAATCTGCGATCGGCAGCTGCGTATCCCATATTCATGCATACCATTTATTCATAATTGTTAATTTATTTCAAGGCCGGACGCTTCGAGGCAAGGCATTCTACAATGTACATGGAAGAGTTTACTGTGAAGAAGACTATCTGGTGAGTTTGTAGTAACCCTTTGTTTGTTTTAAATAAAATATTGTGTGATTTTTATAATGTCATAAGTGAGTTGTATGCCTGCTTTCCATTTAAACTTTCTGAGGTTTTATAATGTCATAAGTGAGTTGTATGCTTGCTTTCCATTTAAACTTTCGGAGGTTTTATCCTAACAAACAGCACGTTGAATGCTTCTGCAGTTTTTATGTGAATTTTCCTTACAAAGGCAGTGGTTTACAGCTAGGCTGTGGAAATCTGCACCTTTTCAAAAACATCAGGTTTCAGTTAACCCTTATTTAGTCAGCTTTTATGATATATGGTCTTTAAGTGGAAGTGTGTCTGTACTTCCCCCCCCCCCCCCTTTTTTTTTTTCCCACACACACATATTCAAGCCCACTCACAGTTTGGCTCTGTAAGCCACACAGTGGGGTTTGGATTGTTTTTTTGTGGAATCTATTAGCCAGGTGTCCTCTTCACAGTGAATGTTTGCAGGAGATCTGTCTCTCATCCTGGTGGTGCACTCATGTAGCAGTTTGTCTAGCACCTAATATCTTCCCACTTGGATCTTTGTCTGTACTTTTCTTGCTTGTCTCCAGCTTGTCCCTCTAATGTGGTTATTATACCCGTGCTTTGTCTTTTAATTTGGCTAAAATTAATTTCTCTTCTTGCTTTTAAATTTATTTCAGCAACTCTCTTTTCACTCCCAGTATCTTAAGTGCCTCTGTTTTTTGTTATTTTGTTTTGTTTTGTTTGTTTAAAGGATATAAAACATATTCTTCTGTGTATCCACATTTCCAGGGTCTCAGTTTGACTTTCTAATCGCATATTTATTATCAAATGTCCTTGCCATAAGTTAATTTACTATTACAGTATACTGGTTATTTTTTAGACCTTTTGTTACTGTTACTAAATATACTATATTGTAAACAGGGATTTCATTCTGTGTGGGAGCATTTTACTGGTATTTTTTAGACCTTTTGTTACTGTTACTAAATATACTATATTGTAAACAGGGATTTCATTCTGTGTGGGAGCAGTATACTGGTTATTTTTTAGACCTTTTGTTACTGTTACTAAATATACTATATTGTAAACAGGGATTTCATTCTGTGTGGGAGCAGTATACTGGTTATTTTTTAGACCTTTTGTTACTGTTACTAAATATACTATATTGTAAACAGGGATTTCATTCTGTGTGGGAATCAGGATGGGGGACATAATGGCATGTTTTGCTTTACTGTGTTATCAGTTTATTGTGATATTCCGTTTATTGTAATATTCAGTATATTGTGGTATTCCGTTTATTGTGATGTTCGGTATATTGTGATATAATCCGTTTTTGTGTGTGTGATATTGTTTATTGTGATATTCAATTTATTGTGATATTCATTTTTTTGGGGGTTATATTCAGTTTATTTTGATATTACGATATTTAGTTTTTTTGGGATATTTGGTATATTGTAATATTCATTTTATTGTAATTTTCGGTATATTGTGATATTCCTTTTATTGTGATTTTCAGTATAGTGTCATAATTAGTTTACTGTGATATTCACTTTACTTTGATATTCAGTTTATTAGGGTATTCAGTATATTGTAATTTTCTATATTTCAGTTTATTGTGATTTTCAGTATATTGTGATATTCAGTTCATAATATTTACCTTTATTACAATATTTACCACTGTTGTGACATTTGCATTCATTGTGTCATTTACTTTTAAAAAAAAATATATCCTTCTGTGTGTGTGGGGAGTTAGACATTTGACTGTGTGGCTTTTTCGGATATTTGTATTTTTCAGTAACTAAGATCCTAACATTAAACATTTCTGAATATGCCAGCATATCTTGGTGTCTGAGGCGTTTCACCCCTACACTTTCCTATCTTTCCATGATATACTTTTCATTCTGTTGTATATCTTTCCACCCTTACACTTGTGTGTTTTTGTGATCTTAAGAGCCAGGCAATTAAATATGTGAGGTTGCAGTTTAAGCCATGACGGATAAACACATCATTAAATTTGTTTCTGGCTTTGCTTTGAAGTATCACTGCACTTATAAACTAGAAACATAAAAAGTTAAGTGTTCACCTACCACATAATATTATGACTTTAATATTTTATATCCTAAAGATTTACATGGGAATTGCTGTGGCGTGGCAGCTAGAGGCTTGCCTGCAGATCAGAAGGTTGTGGGCTCGCTTCCTGGCGGAGTCGGACGTTTTTTTCAAAAATGACCTTGTTTGCCAGGTCGACCCAGCCTTGAGTGGGTACCAGGTACAGTCCTGGAAAGTTGAGGCGGCCGGCATGATGCTGACCACATCACCCATCTTGTGCCGTTCGTGTGTAAAATATAGGTCTAGCCCTATACTTATGCCTAGTATGCATGAAAGGCGTGGAGAGGAGTCCTTTACTTTCCTTGTAAAGATTTACATGTCGCTAGCAGTGTCTCGCTTTGAATGACAGGTGCGTGTTTAGAACACCCCTCGTTCTACCAGAGTATGGATAAATTAATTAGGTTAGATGCGTATCCAACCCCAACAGCCCCTGGTTGTTGTGTTGTGTGTTTTTTTTAAAGGCAAATTTACGTCTAGTAGTTTGCCATTGCTTCCTGTACGGTCGGCTTTCTTGATACCACTGTCGAAACCAAAGTAAGGCGCATGGCCTGCATCCCGGCCAAAATTTTGTAGTTACCTCCATCAGGCGTAGAATAAGGGAGATAACTCATGAATTGTGTGGACAAGAAACAAATAGCCAGTTGTACTACTTGTTAATATCAAACTGTTATTGAGAAAGTGTAATTTTCCAGTATTAGATGAATTATTTCACTGCTTTTTGGCATTTAAATGTTAGAAACTGCTGAAAACTGGGATTTCGTGCGGCCTTGTTTTTGTTAACAGATGATCAGTGGCATTTTGTTTTGTATGCCAAACACTAGAGAAAATTCAGCTTCACGTACATGTCAGGGTCAGCACACTTAGTATTTATTCATCATTATGTAGCAGGTCCTTTAAAGAAAGAAATTTTGTCCCTCTGCTGGGATCGAACCCAGCATCCCGAAACATTTACATCGACTTAGCCAGAGAGCCGACATGCTTCATGCACTTTTCTGCCCAAGGTGTCTCTTATGTCTTCACCCATCTTTGTGCTGGTCGGCCCTGCCTGTCTTAATCTCTCCATGCCCTCAATTTCTTTACATTTCCAAGCCATTGCTACATTTTATATTGCCAAAATATTTTAGTTTCTGAGACAAGATATAGTATTTACAAGTATTTTTGTAATATTTTTAAGCTTTTTAAAATTCCTGGGAATGTTAAAATGTAGTATGGGTTGATAACACTTTTACTAGCATCGTGCCTAAGAAGTATTACACAGTTGATCAGCATGCTAAGTCTACAATATTTTTTATAGACAGCATTTATTGAAACAAGTTTGATCTTTTGAAGAATTAAATGTTTTTAGTTAATTGTTAAATATTACTTTGGCACCCTGATAACAGCAGATGGAAGATGTATTAAAGAATTTATATGTAGTCTATAAAGGCTTAGGGGGCTGGGTCACACCTGGAGAATGGAGGATGGCCGACCTCTACTACTTAATAAAGATGTGTGCAAGCAGGACATGAATGATACAGGTGTTGAGGGGACTCATGGGAACAAAATGACATGTATTGTATGGAAAGGGCATTTTAGGAAGGGAATGAGACTGAAGGAAGAAATGATTGCAGAAAGGATGAGAGCTGAGCGTCTGAAAAGAAACGGATTAAAAACAAATGTTGACAAAAATGGTCCTGAAATTCCATGCTATCATTGTGGAAGACTTTTCTTGACACGGGCAGGTCTTGCTAGTCACACTCGCCATCGCCATGGGCTGTGAGTCTCATGCCTCCTCATAGCGCAATATAACACTATCATCTGGAAAGACGGAAAGGTGCCAATGATGTAGAATATCTCAGGCAAAGGCAACATTTGACATAAAGAAGAATATTCTATTCAGTCTTTTTTGTCATTTAAAGTAAGAATGAGAATTATGTAGTGTATCAATCATATCCTGATTTTAAGGAAATCTTCTTCGTGTGTGCCGGCTGTAAACTCCGGCGGAAAGTTCATGTTGTTCATCCACTTCTAGACTGCAGTCCTGTTCCAGAACCTGAGTGTTGCATGTGCATCCGTTTGACAGATCTAATTTGTATGCAGACTGCTGGTTCCTTGCCTCTCAGGCAGATGCACTTTGACTTCAAAGGAAGCTGCCAATTAGTCGACTCTTACGACAAACTTTTGGGTAGGCAGTGGGTCTATTCTTGTTTCCTCTATAATAGGGCCCCGGAACCCACACAGGGAATTAAGGAATTTAATCATGGACATTAACCAGTTAGTGAGAACTTATGAGGCAGAAATATGATTTTATGAGAAAACTCCGGACAGATGTAAAGAATAAGGAAGATGTCTTGAAAGAAACAAACTCATGAAGAGGACATATGACCCACATCTAGAAGGAAAAAACTGGAGTACATCATGACGGTTAAAAAGTTGGTGTCAAAAGAGGCAGAGGGAGATCGAGAGAGAATAGGCTGGACAGTTTGACATCATGGCATCGAAGATCATCTGTGTTCTTATTGGTTGAGTCAGAAGTTTGTGGATAGACATAACTACCAATGCCACATGGTGTTAACTGTAAGAAGATAATGCCATATACTGTACTTCAGTTCACCCAGCATGTCATCAAAAATCATTCCACATGCCACACTTGGCACACATGCCGTAGATTGCCAATTCAGGAAATAGAGTTAGGAGAAATAATTACACAATATCATACAGTATATTCAAGGGCAGCATTAGTTGTGGACAATGTATGTGTCTAAAAAGTAGAAATCAGTCAGATAATGAACATTTGACAGATTATACAAGTTTTTTCGACTACCATTTTCTTCCTTTTATATCTTTATGGTATTGACAATAAACCTATGTTGTACTTTCAGTATTCAGGCTTTCAGCAGACTGCTGAGAAATGTGTGGTTTGTGGGCACCTTATCATGGAGATGGTAAGTATAGGCATAACCGCATTGTTATGCGTATGTGTACGTGCGCACTTGCATATGACTTTTTTCAGCATAGTACTGCAAATTGCATTATTCCTCTCATGGTTGCTAATGCACATGTGGGACTTAACATCCAACATTCATATATATCTTTGAGTTACCCTGCTTATCGCTTGTAGCCTTTTCTGACCAGTATTTATCTACGATGGCCACACATATGTTGATTATTCTACTGGCCAGACAGAAATGTGATTTATGTCAAAGATACATCAGCTTAGTGATTTTGTATATACCTGTTCGTATTTATGGTAAAATAGATTTATGTATATGCTGATGAAGGAAAGCTAGCTGCATCATTCACGTGTCCTTTGTGTATGTGATATTGTGAAGCTCACTGGTTGTACTTTTAATTTGGTTTTATATCTGTTATCACAACAGCAGCTTCTAGTATACACATAATTATTGTTGGCTCCCAGATGAGTTACAGCTGCTAACATAACATTGACAGCAGGAATTGCACATAAACTAGAGCTTTTCAAAATAAATATGTAAGGAGAATCTTGCAAATATTCTGGCCAAACAGGATAACATGTGAGGAACTGAGCAGGAGGACAAAACGTCCATCACTGGCAAATAATATCAAAGGAAGAACATGGAGATGACTTTGACATGTTTGCTGAATACCTATTGACACTTTTGCAGGGGAGGTCTTTGGTGGACAGCAGATTGGAAAGGGAAATGAGGACAGCCTATGGAAATGTTTAGTAGAAAAGGAAATGAAGGAATATAAAAAGACATGGGAGACAGGCAAAAAAAACGGCAGATCCAGCAGCACTGGAGATCACCTGTGAATATCTTATGTCAGTGATTCCCAAACTGCCTGGGGAGCCATGACCTCTTCACAGGGGAGCCACGACTTCTTCACAGGCGTGCCACAAAATATTCAAAGATACACGAGTTTCATTTTTTAAAAATCTCTTACATAGAAATAGTCATACTTTTACTTAGGTTAGGACGCCGTGGAAATATTGTAATTGAAAAAAAGGCGCAGCTACTAAGACAAGTTTGGGAAACACTGTCTTATGTGTCAGCAGTAACAGAAGAGGATTCAGAGAAGATACCATTGCATGGGAAGCTGTATGTTTAGAAATAAGCCATGCAGTCTTTCTTAATTAGTTAATCAATCAGCCAGGTGCCACCTCTACAGTGAACATTGGCTGCAGTGAATTTCCTCTTTCCCTAAGCCTCCATATAGACTCTTTGAGACTCATCCTTATCATCATCATCATCCCGTAACACTGCGTGTCGTTGGGTCAGCAGTTTCTGTTGACTGTCTGATCAGCTCTCTCCACCTGTAGCGGTCAGTGGCGATGTACTCCCTGTGTGGGTTCCAGGGCCACATTGTGCACATTTTGGGGGGAAAACAAGAATAGACCCAATGCCTGCCCAAAAGCGTGTCGTAAGAGTCTACTAATTGGGGAGCTTCCTTCGAAGTCGGAGTACATTTGCCTGACAGACAAGGAACCAACAGTCTGCATGCAAATGAGTCACACCTGTAAAATGAATTGGCAACTCTTATAACAGCAATGAAACTGTTGAAAATGCAATGATAAGGCGTGTAACACTACCTACCGGCTTTTAGTAGTGGCTTGTAGGTAGCTTCTTATCTCAGATATGTACATATGTGCACATCGGGTTGAACAGACTGTTGAGATGTTGTGTGCATGCACATAACAATCTGCAGTTCTATAGTGCTAATCCACAAACCGCCACTGCTAAACAACACTGCATTGCTCTGTAGAGCTGCAGAGGAGAAAAGGCAAGCCAAGAAAGTCCCGGACACACACTTTACCATGTGGGTTCTTGTGTCACAATTGGAAGGATGGGGGTATAGACTCACTGCCTTCCTATCGTGCGTGTCATATAAGGCGACTAATTGGGAGAGTTTCATTTAAAGTCACAGTGTATCTGTCTGAAAGGCAAGGACCCCAACAACAGTCTGCCAGATCTGTAAAACGTGTGTGCATGCAAACTCAAGTTACAGGAAATAAAAAAAACAACTCACAAATGGTTAAAAAACCAGAACTTTCTGCCAGAGTTTACAGCCAGTGATTTCTAAGAAGAAGAAGAAAAAGAAGAAGCATATAATCTGAATTGTAATTTTATAAAATGAATTCTCTGATTACACCTTGCAGATCCTGCAAGCCATGGGCAAGTCTTATCACCCTGGTTGTTTTCGATGCTGCATCTGTAATGAATGTTTGGATGGAGTCCCCTTTACCATAGATGTTGACAACAAGATATACTGTGTAGCAGATTACCACAGGTAAGATATCTGTAAATCGTCTGTTACACCTCAAGTATATTAATGTTATCATTTACTGCTTGGGATGTACAGATGTGCTGAATGGTGCATCAGGACCTATCTTATCCATACTTATCCATGTTAATTATAGAAATAGGCTGCCAGCTGGTAGCTTGACCAACATAGATAGGATCAGCATTTCCTTCAGTGTTGTAGTACATCTGCCTCAGAGGCAAGAAACTAACAGTCTACATACAGATAAGACAGGACAAAAGGGATGCACAGGCAAAACTCAAATCCTGAAACAAGACCGAAGTTCTCACTGAAGAAGAAATGATGACTCCATTACAGTCTTTGTCAATACATTGCCCTTCATAATGAATTGTTTTGTGCCTCATAGCACTCACAGCTCTTCTAGGACTCCCCCATCCCCTCCCCAATGCACAGACACACGCGCGCACACACACACACACACACATGTGCATGCATGCGCACGCACACACACACATACACACACACCCACACACCCACCCAGCCACCCACCCACCTGATCTTTTAATATTTTATCTCTTCAATAGGTTAAGTGTTCTTCTGTGAATCTTTTCCTAATTGTTGTAAGTTTTCTCTGTCATATATCGGTATCTAAAGAAACATGAACGTACATATTGCATTTCTGAAATATTTGCAGGATACATGCAAAAAATGATCTGATCAGTTCTGACCTTCTATCTCTTCAGTATGTTGAGTGTTCTTCTGAGGATCTCATCTTGATTGCTATAAGTTTTCTCTGTCTAAAGATTTTGAATCTATAGTAAGGTAAAGTCGGGAGATGTGAACCAGCGTCATTGCACACAGTTATAAACCATAAGTGCTCTGCCACCAGTGCGGACAGCTGATAAGAAACTGTCCGCCTGTGTCGCCGTCCACACGTAACTCCGTAGCTACAGCGACGTTCCTCCATTTACCCCATAGTGTCCATTCTGGTACTCATTTCCTAGAGGCCGGGTGAACCCGGGAACCGCCCGGTTTCGATGCTTTTACTCGAAGAGATAACCTCTCTTAATTTAAAGTATTACTATTGGTATTTTATAGGTACTCATACATGCTGCATCTGATAACCACAGGTATTGTATCGTTATTTAAGAATATTCGTAGTGAAAACAATCAAGGTATCTGTAAAGGAGGAGCTTCTACTTCTTCTTAGCTTTATCCTGCTGTAAACTAAAATTTCCAGACTTTTGTCTTGTTTTAGACTTGAGTTTTTCATGTACATCCTTTCTACGGACAAACTTATTTGTATGCAGACTGTCGGTTTCTCACTTCTCCAGCAGATGCACACTGAATTAGAAGGAAACACACCCAGCTATTTGCCTTTCATGACATGCTTGTTGGGGGTACATCTGCATCTGTGGCTTAGGTGTTGCGAGTGCGCTTCGTAATGCCAGGGTGCCGGGTTCGATGACAGTGCAGGTGGTTTGTCTTGCGTTGGTTTCGGCAGTCGTACCGAGAGCTGACTGTTCAGCAAGTAGTGGCAATGTACTGAATGTAAAATTTGCCTAGAAAAACCAAAACAGCCAAAAATCACTGGTGTTGGTTCTGCAATATCCTGTAAAGGATAACCAACAAGCTTTTTTTGTTTGATTGTTAGGGGTACAGTGGATCCATTCTGTTCCACCCCCACCCCCAGCTCCCACCAATTTGGGCTCCAAAACCCACCCGGGGACAACAAGAAGCTGATTGGTAGAAAATTTGTTTTTTTAAATTTAGAGCCAAGGGTTGTTGACCTGTTATGGCAGTGATTTTTGCCTACAGTTTAAAAATATATGGTCTGCAAATTGGTCATAGGATGCTAGGGTTGCCAGATACTCCATTTCCCTCAGATTTCCTAATTTGTTTCGTCAAGATTTTATTCCTGTGGAGTAAGTTTAATATGTTGATCATGTATTGTTTAATAGACTGTTAGTAGTAAAATATGTTTTCAGAAACAAACATTGAGTTTTCGTTAATTTTTTTATTTTTTTTTTATTAGACAAAATTTGGTAACCCTACATGCATGCATAATTCAGCTGATAAAAGCCACACACATGCAGTCGTGCCCCCAAAAACCACCCTTCCCATGATCCCATGGATTGTCATTATCATCAGGTAGCAGGTCCTTTGCAGAACATCGCTCTCATCACGGTCTGCCTGAAAGACACCTGGTTTCTCGCCAGCTGTCCCGCCTCATGTACTTTCATACTGAAGGAGTCACTTATATCCTGTGACTATCTTCTTGTTGGTCAGGCCCTGCCACTCCTTCCTGGTACCATGCCTTCTGCTATATTATTTTTTACAATCCGTTGTGGCGCTTGATATGACCAAAATATTTCAGCTTCTGAGACAGGATGCTGTTTATTAGCCAATCTTCCATGAATTATATAAACAGAAAAACTAAAGCTGCTGAAAACATTTTCTCTTACACAGAGTATATGCTCCTAAGTGTGCTGCCTGTGGCCAAGCCATCACTCCAGTCGATGTAAGTGTGCACTATGTATACATGATTCGGTTTTTTTATTCTGACCAGAAACACTAGTAATTCCTCCCTCCTTTGTATGTGAGTTTCCAAGGCCTTCTGTGTAAACTGAAAATTTTTATGATTATTGTGTCTTATGTAAACACATATGTATATTTCCTAATGCTGATGTTCTCACACATTTTTACAGTATATTTGTATGGTTCTTAGAACCTTTATTTCATTGAATTCCCCTGGTATTTAATGTTTCACTTTATCTAATATTTGTGTGTAATATATAAAGTACAAAAATAAGTGTTTTGTTATCCTAGATTTCTCGCTTACTGTTCGTATTGTATATGAAATATTTAGTAATAATTTAGGAGGTCTGCAAAAACATTACTTTTGTTTTTTGTGTGTTAAAATGTAATATATTACTGTCGTCACAGTTTGTGTCTTTTTAATAGTCACTGTTGTTTATTAGAATTGTAATTATAGAACTAAATACTAAGAGGTTGTAAACCACCCCCCTCCCCCCCCCCCCCCCCCCCCCCCCCCCCCCCCCCCCCCCCCCCAGTTTTAATCATTGTTGTTGTAAGTTTTAGATTGACATGTAGTTGTATTCTCTGTGGACATTTGCCTTGTTTAAGTCAAGAGTATGACTTGTGTCATCATTCTCCATTGTCCCTGTGTGGGTTCCAGGGTCCCATATTTGGGGTCAAAAACAAAGTGGAATAGACCCACAGCTCCTTAAGCATGACATAAAAGGTGGCAAATGATGGGTTTGTTGAAATCAGATTTGGAGGGCTTAAAGGTACAGCCTAGCTGTAAACCACAACACAACATGCGAACACCAGGTCTTTTTAAAAAATAGAAAACTAAAAGGTGCCAAGACTTACCAGAAAGTGTTTAAAAAGTGCCGGTACTCACCCAAAGCGTTTTTTAAAGTATCACTGAATAATGATCCCCCCCCCCCCCCCCCCTTCCAAGGTGCCAGTACTGCTTACTGTTAAGTACTGCCTGAAAAAGCCCTGGATTTTGATTAAGTCGAGGAAGAGAATACAGTTTTATCTCAATCATCTCTGCATCTCAAATGACTCTGATGTTTGACCAGCACCTCTGGCACACATTGTGTTTCTGTTCAGTGGTTTCTTTTAGCTGGTAACTTCATGTCTGTCAATAATGTCCAGTGTGTTTTATGTTGTATGCAGTCAAAGGTCTTACAGACGCATAGGAAAATATACATTAAAGTCTAAATTTCTTCCTTGGCCCACCAAGATCGACTCACACTAAAATGGGAGCAGTTAGTGTCCTGGGAAGTAAAGGTGATTGGCCTATAAAAATATGTCTAGCAGTGTTGAATGTTGAATTAAGAATCAACATCATAGCACTCGGGACACTCCCATAAGTGCTCTATCCCAGTCTTCAGCATCAACCGAAGACTTCCAATTCTGATAACATTAGTAACTGTCTGGTTTAATATCCGTCTTGCCTTTCAGTTGAGTGTTGAGCGTCAGCCCGATCCCCTGGTAACTCCCTGCCGCGCCATTCTCCTCAGGCCGTAATGATCTATTTGCGCTTCCTCACTGTTCACTCGCTCCCAGAGAGCCCTCACAACATCTAGCGTGTCATACATCAGTTCACCACCAAGTGGTGCAGAACCAGCCAGTCTATCAGCCTGCTCATTTCCCATCACACTGAGTCTTGCAGCAAATGCCCAATGCACCACTGGTATAACAAGTGTCCTTTTATTTTCTGTTACTATATTTCTTAACTCTTTTGGGTACCAAGGAATGCAACATGTGGTTATTTATAACTGATTTCAGTGCCTCTGCCACCGAAAGAGTTGAGGATGGTTCTCATATTAGTGTCTTAGTCCTCTGCCCATGTTTTTGGAAGAAGTGAGTGTATAAATTAACAATTTATAATTGTATCTTAACAGGGAAATGAAGAGACAGTCCGAGTGGTTTCCATGGACAAAGACTTTCATGTGGATTGTTTTCATTGTGAGGTATGTATTCACTCATTTTCATACCTCGACACACATTACGATTTATGTTTTGTACGTACAGTATTTATACAATCTGCTCCTTTGATTTTTTTGCTTTCATTTGTTTAAAAACATATTTATGATTCATGCATTGTCCACTAGATAATAATAATTTGTACTGCAGGGGTCTGTGTAACAAATTAAATGGGTCAGTGATATAATTTACAAGAACCCTTAACTGTAGAATGCAATTCTTTTTGCAATTATTGTGTTTATAAATCAGAAGTTTTCAGTATTACTTGAAAAGTATGGAGTCCATTGCAGACCTTTGAAAATATGAGTGGTCTTCAGGTTTGAGCAAACTGAGAACCGCTGCTGATTTAGACCATCAGTTCTTACATTTGTTTAAATATGAATTATTTATCTCTGCCGTGTCATGGCGCTTAGACACTCACCTGCAGTCCTGAAGGTCATGGGTTCAGATAAGCATGAAGCTGAATATTTTGTTAAATGACCGTGGCTTCCAGGTCAGCCCAGCCTTCAGTGGGTACCAGGTAAAGTCTCTGGAGGTAAAAGCGGCTGGCATGATGTTGACCACATCAGCTAGCAAGTGCCCATTGATCTATAAAATGTAAATGGCACTCTAAACCCACTATGTCTAAGGGCATGAAAGAGGGTCCTTTATTCTGTGTATACTGTTACACTTGGGTCAGTCACTCTTGGTGTTTCTTCATTGGTTTTGAGTTGAGTTGAGTCAAGTATTGACATCACGGTACTCGGGTCATTCCCGTGCATGCTCTGTCCTCATCTTCAGCAGCCAGTGCAGAGTTCTAGTACTGATGGTACTGATCACAATCTGGATATATGTCCGTCTTGCCTTTCCTCTGAGTGTAGTGAGTTTTGATGCTTCTTCTCTCTACCCTTTGTTTCTGTTTCAGCATGCTAGGTAGGGTTTAATGGTTTATTGTTTATTTAATGGATCAACATCATGGCACACGGGTGTAACCCATAATTGCTCCATTCTACTTCTAACTCAAGCCTGAATGTTAATATTCTTTGCTTCCTCTTAAAACCTCGGTAAGAATTGCATGGAACCACAATCTCCTGTACAGTCCGTGGAGACATACCCATATCTCCAGAGATTCAATACACCTTGAAAATTGTATTGAGTCACTGGAAATGTGGATATACTGAAGAATTTGTAGTTTTTCATTGAAATTGAAGCAAAGCAAGAGGTTCTGAGGATACTAGGAATAAAAAGAAACAAGTTAAATATTTTGGCCATATTAAAAGACATAACACCCTTCTAAAAACCATATTGAAGGCAAAAGTTGGAGGTAAGCAAACAATATGGAGATAGTGATGTAGGTGAGATAATAACATCAAGAGATAGACGAATAGCAGTCTTTCAGCTCCATTGCAGCCAGCCTTCTTTGGGAAGGTGGCATTTGATTGATTGATGGATACATTTTTCATATTACATGTAATTTATGTGACATGTCTGTGGTGTTTTTTGTTTGTTTGTTTAATCTTGTTACCTGACTGGTTTTATTTCTAAAACAGACAGCAGCCAGTTGGTAGCCAGATATTGTAAGAAAGCATTGTCGTGTTGCAGATAGTCAGCATTTTGCTAAGTAGAAGGTTAATGTATGCAGTGTAAATTTCTAACTAAACTTACACACTTTGAGCATGTTGGCAATCACTAGAAGTTACATGTGTGCAGCTTATGTTTTAAAATTTTTAATAAGGTCTTACGTTTTGAGCATGATAAAGGTTTTAATATATGTTTAAAATGAATTAATAATTCAGCCAGGTTTGAGTAGTTTGAGTATGTTAATAATGTTGAAAGGTTGGATGTATTTGCATGGTGAATGACTGGCTAGCTAAACCTGATTTTGTGTATACTGATAATGTTAAAAGGAAAGATGTATTTGCATGGTGATTGACTAAGCTAGTTAAGCCTGATTCAGGACATGTTGAAAATGTTGAAAGGATTGACATGTTTGCATGGTCTCCTTTCCCTCTAACTTTCCTACTATCACAGTGTACTCCGGTTTTCTTCTTTTCATGACATGATCAATGAATGTAGACTGTCTCCTTCTGATGTTGGCTATCAGTTCTCTTCATGAGTCAGTTCCTTTCAAGACATCTTCATTACTCTTTATCTGTCCAGGGTATGCTCATCATTCATCTATAAAACTACATCTGTGCCACTTCCAAATAATTTTTCACCAATCGTCCAACTGTCCATGATACACTTCCATTTAACAGGATAGGATTCATAAAGCTGTTGAGAATTCTATTTCTCATCTCACTTTACAAAGAAAGATTGAATAGAATATTCTTAATTTTGTAAAATGGCACCTTTGCTTGGGCTATTCTACATACAACTTCTTTTACCTGCTGTTATCAGGGTAGCGAGGTACTTAAACCTAATCAGCTTGCTCGAGGATTGTTCCGTTTACTTTAACGCTGCATTTTGAAGAGCCTGTTTGCCTTGTAACTACTATTACCTGATAGTTTTTAATTCATCAGTATCTCTGCTATAGTTTGTGTAACTTAGAGCAATGATTTTTTAACTCTCATAGAAATGAAAACTGCAGCTTTGAAATGAGTGCTTATAGTAAGTAAACCAAAGGACCTTTTTCCACGCCTTCAGGTTTATTGGGCATATAGGGCTAGACCTGTATTTTGTAGCCAGATCAGCACTTGGTGTCTGATGTCGTCAACATCAGGCCACCCACTTTTACATCCCAGGTCCATACCTGGTACCCACTCAAGACTGGGTCAACCTAGGGGGCCAAGGTCATAAAAAAAAAAAGTCTGGCCCCACCAGGCCTGAACCCTTGTAATGCCGCTACACCATGGCAGCTTTCAAATACTTATAGTAGCAATTGAAATCGGGCATTGTAAAGGAATGTGTCCTATATAAAGAGTAGCCAGTGAATGTGTTGTGAGGTCACTGCTGCTGAAAGAGTCTTGTCTTGTCTTGCCTTGTCCACAATTGCCTCACAGCGTAGTGGGGAGTCGCAGTTTTCTATCCTGGGCCAGGTGTGTTGCACGTGTTGTTGTTAGTCCGTGTTGCCTCAGGATCTCTGATATATTGTCTATCCATCGTACTCTCGGTCTGCCTCTTGCTCTAGGGCAGTAGTGCTGTTCGTTGTATGCTCGTAGAGGCAGTTGGTCGGTTTGCATTCGCATCAAGTGGCCAAACCACTCTATTTGTTGCTTCTTTATGTATTGCAGGCATGGTGTGGTTCCTACAATTGATCTAATGTTCTCGTTAGGCTGCAAAATTCAACTAATCATGAACAAGTGTATAAAAGACTTGGGAGTGTGAATGCCTATAATCTCTTGAAAGATGAAAGGCAGAAGAACATGGAGGAAACTAAATGTTATGTTTCTGATCAAACCGGTTCTGCCAAACACATTTGATAAGCATGGTGATCAATACCATGAGATGAATACATGTGCATTCAGTCAAATACTAATCGCAAGAAGAAAATATATTTTTATAAGGATGAATTATGAAGAAGTAGATGGAGAAGAAAACAAAACATAAATATGCACTGACATGGGAAACCACAATGTCACCGGTACGCAGGAATGATAGTGAGTATGGTTCAGATTTGCCCGATGGGTGAAGTACCCCACCAGGTGTGTTGTGATAGGGATTGGTCCCTACTGGGAACGAAACCAGATCATCCTGACAGAAAGCCTCGCTGGACATGGAAGAGAAGCACCCAGTTTGACATCAAGAAGCACTATATTATGCTGCAAAGCCATATAACAGAAATGCAACAGAGATACCCAGTAGGACTTCAAGTTCACAGTTATAACCAGAAGCTTTCATAAGCTGGTTGAACATGATACATTTTTGATTTTGTTGTTGTTCTTTAAACAAGTCAAGGAAACCACAAGCATACAGCTCTGTTAGTGTAAGCTCCACTTGTAGACCAGAATTTAGCTGTAGTGGTAGCTGGTATATTGTTTACAAACATGTATCTGCCTTACTGCTCTACACTTTTGTTGATAAGTTAGTGATGTGCAGTGTGCCAGTCAGCATCATCTGCCTTTCTATCCCCCAATGGGGCATAGGCCCTCAACCAACTCATGCCAAGTCCTACTATCCTTCGCTATTACATGTCCTCCCCATCTTTCAAACTTTATTCTCCAGCTCTCTTCTCTATGTGTTGTTTGGCCTTCCTTTATTTCTTTGCCCCTGTGGGTTCCAATGCAAAGTCATTCTAGTTATGCTGTTCCCTGGTTTTCTCAGTGTGTGTCCTATCCAACACCAGCGTCTTTTCCTCACCTCTTGGTCCACTGAAGCCTGGTTAGTAATCTCCCAAAGCTCTGCGTTAGTTATTCTATCATACCATTTAATTCCATGTATTCTTAGCAGGCACCAGTTAATGAATGTCTGTAATTTATTAGTAATCCTCTGTATACTCAACCTAATACAGTACAATCATCTTAAAAGCTCAGCATAAATGTATTTGCACAAATAATATCTTGTAGAGTGTATATAAAACAAGCACAGTAGTGTTGAAAAGGAGGGTGAGCATTAATCAAACTGTTTTGACAATGTTATTAGTCAAACAATTAATTGTGATGCAGAGGTGCACAACCACGTGTATTGGTGCACATAGACCAGGGCTCATACTGGTCGAGATGTATCTACATCTCTCCACGGCCCTCCTAGGTACAGAATTTTGCAAATATATATGAAGGGAAGTAACCACTGAATACAAAGAAAAACTCCTTTCCTTCCCTTTCGCCAAGAAAATGGTGGTTTTGTTAACACAGCCACATTGAGAAAAATGACATTTTCATAAGTTAATTATGATGTCACAGTGACAAAATTGTTCTTTTTTTTAAATGTCAAATAATATCCCCACCACCCCTTTTTTTATGTGTCTAAATATATAATCATGCATACCAAAACATCTACACACTTTGCAAGTTGCAATCAGTATAAAGTTTTAAAGGCATATTTGCCACTGCTCAAAGACATGATCCAA